CCACCATCTTGGGCTGTAGAATCCCTCCTTCTCCATCACTTTGCTTACTTGGTAATATCATAGAAATCGACCACCTACCAATTAAATATAAAAACCCACTCCTCATTTCTCTAGCTATTGCCAAGAAAACAATCTTTCAAAATTGGAAGTCAAAAAAATCTATACACATAAACCACTGGACCAACCTTCGGACAGAATACATACAGAGAAAATGGCATCCACTCACAAGAATAGTTTATTTGCTTTTTATGACACATGGAACCATTTTTAACACATTTCAACTTGAATCAAATACCTGGGGCTGAGGCCATGCACATTCCCACCAACCTCTAAAATGTAACAAACTGATTTTTTTTAATAGTACTGTTATCATCATTATTATTGGTAGTTTTTTCTTTAAATTTTTTTATTTACTTCCCCTCCTTTTCCCTTTCTTGCATTTCATAGACTGCATAAGTTGGAAATATTCACACTTCACACACTACAACCTCGTTAAACACTCTATATCCTTTTGTAATGTCATGTAACTGTTGTCTTGTCTCCCATGTTCGGTACTGTTTTGTTAATGTGTTACTTTGTTTCAATTAAAAAAAAAACATTGTCAGATCTGCTGATAGAAACTGAAATAAATTGCAAGGATGCAGATATTTGGCACTTTGAGCAAAATAAATAAACTGCTGTAAACAGGTGAAGAAGAAGAGATACAGCAGACAGAGGACAGCAAGCTGACAGAGGGGAAAGAGGAGGCGATGACAGAAACAGAAGTGACTACAGGCACAGAGACCAGGCACAAGAAGAGATGAACTCGATGCTGCTTGTTCTGTGTTCATATAAACTCCAGTACAGAAACCATATGTAAAACACCACATCTATTAGCGGCTGCTGCTGTTTACCTGCAGTTCTATACGCACCCCCACCCCCCGTGTTCAAATGTGTTACTTCCGCCACTGGTCCGAATTTGGATCGGTCTCAGCGTGGCCGTTACATGCGCATGCGCATAACCTGGTGTCCTGTGGCAGACTGTCAGCACCATGAGCGGTGGGACTGAGAGAGCAAATAAAACATACCCAGATTAACCAAGTGGGACGGGGTACAAACACGGTACAGAGGCAGGGCAGACCGGGCCGGATACTGCATGGAGAACCGCTGATCTGAAGCTAACGGAGCTAACAGGCAGTAGACTGTCGGCTGTTATCTAACGGGGCTAACGGACAGGCCACCGCACCGCACACACCTGTTCTGACACGGGATAGCTTTAGGAACCCCCGAATCACATCCAGTCAGACTGTCTCCCAGTGTCACCACCGGTTTCCGGTGAAGTTCAGGCAGCTAACGTGCTAACTGTCAGTACCGTCACGCCACCCAGGATAGTCCACTCTGACCCGGTTCGGTTTGAGGACCGGGGACCAGGATGTTGATAGGTAAAGTAATTCTGACCCGAGTCGTTGTCGGTGCTGTTTGGTTATGATTCATGGACCGTTAATTCAACACACTGAACTCTGGAGAGCAGCTAACATGCTAAGCTGGCATTAGCTAACGGTACCAGGCTGTGACTGCTGCTGCTGTCACACACGTAAACTACATAGATAGGGTTTATCCTTCACCTAACTTTGCAACCAGACGCCATTCAAAAATATAGAGTTTACAGTGTGTTGTCTTCCAGGCAGCTGATTTTTTTTTATTTATTTTTTTACCGGTGAACCTATTACATTTTTTTCCCCAAAGATAAATGTTTGCTGGTAAATTCGGCCCAAAAGTGATCTTTCAGGCACGTGTGTGTATCTAAGTAATATGTGTGATAATGTGTGGGATTGGCTTTTTTTGATGATTCGTATTTGCTGTAACATACACCTATGGTCTGAATTACATTTTATGCCAAATTATAGTATAATCTGATGTATTTGTCTAGCTGCTAAGGTATATTCCAGCAGGTATGTAGGTTTGCTACTCATGAAGAAAGTTGACATGATTTAGTAATGCAGTTTAGTGTATACTATGCATGCCAAGTAAAGAACAACTCCTCATAAAAGTTTAAATGTTCAACACTTATTTCAGGAGATGCACTGGCAAATAAGGAACAAATCCCAAAATTTAGGTCAAAGGTTTTAAATGGAATTGGGAGTGTGTGACTGAACCTTAATGAGAAGTTAGAAGAGCTGTGCCTGATCATATAAAATGGAAGGAGTGCCACTGAATGTGATTGTGTGTTCGTCCTCCTCTTAGCAGCAGTCGGTGCTGGAACCGGAAACTCTGCCACCACTGGCAAGAAACACCGGAGGAGAGGCAAGAAGCACCGGAGAGTCCGAAGAGACGAGAACCGGTAAGAAACCAGCAGAGAGTTTAGCCCCCGACACACTGCTGACCACTCTATATACACAATCAGAGGATATATTTAGCTGTGTGTGGGAGAGACAGTAATTTGTGGTCTATGGCGCTTCAGTCCAAGAAACCCACTCGGTGTGTTTACATGCACATTAGTATTCCAATTTTTAGTCTTATCCTGGTTTCAGTCATATTTAGGATATGGGTTTACATGGACACATGATCAAACAGTATCAGGTATAGAAACCTGGATCAGGTTTTAACAGCCCACAGTATTCCAGGTTCTATCAGAGCACCCCAAGTAGGATAAGCCCTTTTCTGGGTTTTTTAAATCCAAATGAGATGTTTACAAGTGCATAACTTTTTTTTTTTTGAAACTGTAAACCTGTATTACAGAAAAATTACTAGAAATGAGGGAGAGAGAGGTCAAACAAAGGTCTTCAGCTGGATTCAGACTGAACGTTGTGGTTCATGGCCAGCTTAACCCCAACGTATTCAGTTTTTGATATGCAGATTGAAGCCTTGTGCCTGCCAGACTAAATTGAGGACATTAAAACTTTATGAGTTTGAAAGAAATGGATCATTAAATTAGAATTAGGTTTTATGTGGTGATGGAAAAAAAAACTGCAGATTTTCAAAGGAAGTTCTGCATTGAGTCTTTGGTTAAGGAAATGATGAATGATACATATCTACTGAGTAAAACAAGATACAACATGTAAATCAAACAGTTAAGCTAACATTTTCCCCTCACTCTCAGTCTTTGTGCTAAGCTAACTGGTGAAACAAACTGATCTGGTGCTCACCCTGCAGAGACTCAGCTCTAATAATAGACCTGGAGATTGAATCATGATCCTGCAACACACACAAACACTTCAGTCTATTTCAGTGCAGTCAAAGCTCAACAATGTCCATGACTCAGAGATGTCATGATGGAGAGCAGCTGTGTGTGTGTGTGTGTGTGTGTGTGTGTGTGTGTGTGTGTGTGTGTGTGTGTGTGTGTGTGATAGAGATACAGTCAGCCCTCTATGTACAGTCAGCTCCCTAAGTATTTGGACAGGGACACAATTTTTGTAATTTTGCCTCCGTATGTCACCACAATGGAGATTAAAATCAAGCTATCTAGATGTTATTGAAGTGTAGACTTTCCGCTTTAATTCAAGAGGTTTCACAAAAGCATCACATTTACTGTATAACAATTGCAGTATTTTTATAAGGATAAGGAGGATAATCACCTTTATTGGCCAAGAATGTTACACACAAGGAATTTGTTTCCGGTACAGAACCGATGGCAGCCATCTGCGGTGCCACCTCAACCAATGGCTCTAACTATAGCGGGCAATGGGGGGGTTCAGTGTCTTGCCCAATTATACACACTCCCCCGTTTTCAGAGACCCGAAAGTAATGGAGACTGTGTACCCCATAGAGACTGTGTCTGCCCCCCTGACCACCTAAATTATATAAATCAAAAATCAACTTAGAGGAGTTATTCATAAGAACCAAATAAAAATTAAGACTACTCCTCTTATAGAACAAAATAACAGGACAGTCAAATGTGGACTATTAAATAACAGATTACTGCTGTTCTCCATCCAGCCTTCACCCACCTAGATTCAAAGAACTCTTGCGTGGAAATGCTGTTCCTAAACTTCAGTTCAGCATTCAACACAATCATTCCCCAGCAGTTTACACAAACAATTGGACACTTGGGACTCAAAACCTCTCTCTGCAACTGGGTGCTGGACTTTCTAACAGGGAGGCCACAAACTGTGCGGGTCGGCAGCAAAATCTCCTAGACCATCACTCTGAGCACAGGGGCTCTGCAGGGGTGTGTGCTCAGCCCGTTGCTCGTCACACTGCTGACCCACGACTGTGTGCCAACCTACAGCACCAACCACATTGTCAAGTTTCCAGATGACACGGCTGTAGTTGGCCTCATACCAACAATGATGAGGCCAACTACAGGAATGAGATGTGCCAACCGGTCCAGTGGTGTAAGGACAACAACCTCTTCCTCAATGTGGGGAAGACTAAAGAGATCATGTGTGGACTTCAGGAGGAAACCTCTAAAGCATCCACCACTGACCATCGATGGTGCTGTAGTGGAGAGAGTGAGCAGTACCAAGTTCCTGGGGATGCACATCTCTTAGGACCTCCCCTTGGACCAACAACACCACAACACTGGCCAAGAAAGATCAAACACGCCTCTACTTCCTCCACCAACTGAGGAGACCCAGTGTCCCACCCCCCATCATGCACTCTTTCTACCAGGGCACCATTGAGAGCAACATCACTGTGCGGTACAGAGCTTGTACTGCCTCCTGCTGGGACCCTGCAACGCATAGTGAAAACAGCCAGCAAGATCATTGGCGTCCCTCTGCCTTCCCTTACGGACATCTTCAACACCCGCTCACCCGCAGAGCCATCAGCATTGCTGATGACATCTCCCATCCCGAACACTCCCACTTCAGACTCCTGCCTTCAGGGAGAAGGTATCGGAGTCTTCAAGCCTACTCCACCAGGCTTACAAACGGCATCATCCACCAGGCTGTGAGGATGCTGACCACTGTCCATTAACCTCAGATGATTCGTTCCACACCCACTTATCCATATATAAAATGATTACAGTAATACAAAATACAGTATAAAGTAAAAATAAAACAAATTAAGCTGCACTTTACCTTTAAAAAGTACATTGATTTACTGTGACTGACTGAAACCTGGTTACAGCAGGAAGAACATGTCAGTTTAAATGAATCCACCCCACATAGTCACAGTAACTGTCACTTCCTTTGAAGCTCAGGCCAAGGTTGAGGTGTGGCAGTGAGCTTTGACTCAACTCTAGACCGAAACAGAGTTGTAACTGAATTTCAAAGTCTGCCCTATCCCCATTGTGCCCCATGGTACAGCTCCCTAAAGCAGGCATCACGAAAACTGGACAGGAGGTGGCACTCCACTAAGTCAGAAGAGTTTTTCATAGCCTGGAAAGATAGTTTAATAACATATAAAAAAGCCCTTCGTAGTGCCAGAACCGCATTTTATTCATCACTGATTGAGGAAAATAAGAACAACCCCAGGTTTCTTTTCAGCACTGTAGCCAGGCTGACAAAGAGCCACAGTGCTGTTGAGCTTAACATTCCCTTAGATCTCAGCAGCAATGACTTCATGAGCTTCTTTACAAATAAAATCACAACTATTAGAGAAAAAAAATTGGTCGGACCACTCCCACAGCTCTTGCAGATGTGCCATCAACTATGATGGCTTTAGAAACATCTGTTAGACCTCATAAATACTTGGACTGCTTCTTTCCCATAGATCTTTTTGAGTTTAACAACTGCTTCATCTAAATCATCAACCCATCTCGACCAAGCTGCTCAAAGACGTCTTTCCCCTAATCAGCACATCCATATTAGATCTGATTAACCTCTCTCTATTAACAGGATATGTTCCACAGGCTTTTAAAGTTGCAGTAATTAAACCTCTAAGTCAAAGGTCAAAGTGTTTATCTTTCATATGCACAGTTAGGAAACGTGTTTCCCTGTACAATGAAATTCTTACTTTGCCGTCCACATGAATGCCACAAAATACAAATGAAATATAAAGTAGATAAATAAGTAACACAA